AGTGTGTATATATATATATATATATATATATATATATATATATATATATATATATATATATATATATACAGAAGGATTTAAAATATTAATAAAATACAAAAAAAATATGGAAATAATATTTTTAAGAGTGTACTGTACATACTGTTATTTTGTGCTGTTTAACAATATAAATGCAAAACTGTAGATGTAGATTTTGGTTCAGCTCAATTACTTTGAAGTATGACTTAAAGCATCAATTTCCTTCAAATCTAGATGCAGTTTGTTTTAAGAATTTACATAGATTACTTTTTTTACGTAGATATTTTCTGAAAGCCAGCCTCACTGTACCCCAGAGTGAGCAATTATTCTGTGCAGTGGGTAAACTTGCCATCCAAAAAGTAGGGGATGCTGTCATGGGCAAATCATGATGTCACATCCATCCTGTGGATAAACTGGCTGTTTATTTCTTCCACTACATCCTGTGGCACCTTTTTCAGAGAAATATTCTCACACTTGCTGTTGTGCATCCATTCCTCCTCCCTGCAGAGCTGCATTGTGAGGGATAATGTCGTATTTCTTAAGTGTTGGATTGGTCAAAGTCAGTTGAACATATTGTCCATGGGCAGAGAGTGTGGTATCAGCAAGATATAAAAAATCTGGTGTGGGGGATCCTTTCTGCAGATTTATAGCTGGAGTATAAATCTTAACACCTCAGCTACGAGACCTTTTCTTCACCGCGCTGCCATGTGAACGAATGATACCGCATGCCTCCCCACACAGTGTAAGATGAGAGCCCTTGGGTACATGGTAATCTCTCCGTAGGTAGATCACACCTCTCTGTGGCTCATTCCTTCCTTCCTCCTGCTCCACTTTCATTAGTCTTAGGCATGATTTCAAAGCTTTCCCTGAGTCTGAGAATACAGATAACGCACTCTGCTCCCACTAGCACGCAGGGCTATATATTAAACATGCAACCATCAGAAGGCTCTCTCTCAATCAACAGTCAAATTTATGGAAATGTGAATCAATAATGTGGATAAACATTCAACTTTAAAATGTTTGCTTTGGCTAAAATGGCAAACGGCACACTCACTGCAAGAGCAAAGGTACTGAGAATGACATGCAAATTCAAATGATGCTTCCACACAAGCAGATATTGTTTTTTTTAAATGTCTTAATGTTTTTTGTTTTTTTTTCTTCCATACAATGGACGTCAGTGAAATCCAATGTAATTTTGAACTTTCATTATATGGGCCAAAGCAGTTAAAACATTCCTCAAAATATTTTCTTTTGTGTTCCACAGAAGAAAGTTAAGTCATACAGGTTTGGAACGACATGAGTAAATAATCAGCAAATTTAAATTTTTGAGTGAACCATCCTTTTAAGATTATGTAATGCAACAATGTAATGACAAATCATGGCTTTCTTTCTGTGACTATTATTGGTCTGCAGAGCTGTTGTCTATCCACCTTAAAATTCATAAATGTTGCCATGTGTCGAATATTCTGACCAATGAGGGGAAAATTTGCTTGATGTGACTTTTATTAACACATTTTGGTTCGTTTTGAAATGTTGCCATGTGAAAGTGAAATTAACCAAGCAGACCAACCATTGGTCTACATTGCAGAACAAAGCAAAAAGATTACAAATCTGAAGTAAGGTTTCAATATGGTAAAACTTAAGTAACATGCATGTAATTGTATTGAAAAGTAATATTTCAAGAAAAATGGGGAAAATATTTTATGATGAAAATCTATATTTTATTCAACTACACCAAGAAAAAAAAGGTGTAGAAACAATTATCACTTAAAAAGTAAATGTAACAATTACAAAGAAATGGCAAGTAACACACTGAATTAAATTGTAAATTTTGTAGATAAGCTCATAGTATTTTCTTGTATAATATACTCAAATAATTTTATTTACAACTTCAAACAATCTTTTTTTACAGTGTACTTTTGCAGTAAAATTATGTTTTTTGTAAGTAAAAAAACATGAGTCACCTAATAATTTAATATAATATAAATGCACATGAGCAGCAATATCTTGTGTTAATCATGATTGCATAATAAAATTAGATTTTTCTGATACTTTCCCCTCTCAATGAGATTAATTAACACGTAGTGGCACACCTGTGGGTAACCAAACAGCACAACTGTGTTAGTCTATGAGGAAATTAATAATTTACATAATATTTCAGTCCAGGGGCTTTGCCTTTGCACAATGCCCAGCAGTGACTGTGCTGCAGAAGTTTCCTCTACTCTTGCTTTTAGACTGCTAAATGGTAATTAAGCCAGGGCTCCATTTTGCATGCACTCTGCGGAAGAACACGAGTGTTTAAAAAGAAATCGGGCTGCACATATTGGACCACCCGAGGATCATTGTCCAAAATTAAAGCAGGCTGAGGCGGCTGCTCTCTTTGCGCTCGCTGTTCAAGTGCCATTAAATGGCTTTCAAGTGACTATTCTTTTATGTCATTGACTTAAATACAGCTTAGCTGATGGATCCGCTTACCATAACGCTATGTTATTGCAGTTTGTGTGCGTTTTTAATGCGTTCCTGCTTTTGAAATTACCCTTTTGAGCACTATTGTTCTCAATTTAATTACCAACCCTCCATGTTCAGCATAAGCCAAGGACACGTTAATCGACAAAAACTGTTGTTGCTGAAGAAAATTCTACCATACAAAAGAGGCATTTCTCGTTCACCTCCTCAAACATGAAGCCATGGTCCGTTCTGTCAAGGGTTCAATCTGTTTGATAAATGCTTCACCGCCTCTGAGCTGTTTTGGTGTTCACCTTTTGAAAGCCACTAGCTTTAAATAATACAAGGTACAATGAGATCAAGTAATAGAGAAAGAAAATTACTTGAACCCTTGCCCACTACTCATGCACCTATGTTTTTGCCTCTCCTGACACCTTTTTCCTACCTACATATATGTCCTAATCCTCCTGCAGATGATTCCCAGACTGCAATGCAGTCAGAAGGGGGAGCCGGTGAGCTCTTGCTTTGATTTGAAAATGTACTCATGGCTTGATGATAGTTTCAGCACATCAGACAATGACTGTACTGCAGTGTGATGCTCTAAATTAATGGGATTAATGTTTATTTGGCTAATCTGATTAGTGAGTTATTCGGATTGAACTGCTTCAGAGTATGAAAGAAATCCTGTGTGAAAAACAGATTCATCAACATTATTTAAAGGTGCAGTGTGTCATTTCCACATCACTAAGTAGCACCAAACAGAATTTTCACATTATGAATGTATTCAGATATGTTTTAAACACTCACTTCTTCCACCGTTGTTCAGAAAACAAGTACCCCCACCCCAAATTTACGTTACTCTGCAGACGTTACGTTAAAAAGCTGAAAGCGCAAAATGATTAACTTGCAGAGAGCATTTCTGATTGGCTAAAATAGTTTTTTTTTTTTTTTTTTGAAATAATGCTTGTCACAGGTATGATTCCTCAGGACACCTATGGCAGTTATATCTGTCAGGTATGTAGTTGGAACATTTTATGCTCGGTAGTCAAAAAAAAACAAACAAAAAAAATTGCTTACAGCACCTATAATAGTGAAAATGCAACAAGACAGCACTTTGGTTTTATTGGTCTTATATCAGGTATACCTGACATGTAGCCTGACAATTCTAGATACATTTCCAACTATTGGCATATTGAAAGGCTTTGCTGAGCCAAAGAAAATCAGCAATCAATATAGGGCTTTAAAAAAACCCACTGTTATATAGTGCTCAGTGACAAAGAACATTTGACTTATCAGCTCGCGTTCGATCAGGGCCAGCTAACAGGGCGATTGATTGCTCTGTAAAGCTCTGGAGGAAATGGAAGAAATGAATAAATCAGGAGTGAATTACAAACACACAGATAAGAGCCAGGTATTTCTTTGGTCCTATCAGGAACAGTCAAGTGCGTTGATCTACTGTGTGTGTGTATTCTTAAAGGAGAAGCATCTAAAAGAGGACAGGAAGTGAGAAGACAGCAGGCAGTCAACAGCCGAATGTGTTCATCCATACTGAGGACAAAGACAAATAAGACCGGTTTAATTTGTTTTGTTGATAAAGCTG